AGGCACAGCCACCCTTCTTGGGCTCCCATCACTTCAAAACTCCTACTCTGCAGTGCGTCCTTTACTAATTGCCTGAGTTCATTGAAATCAGCTTTCCTAAAGTCTAGCACTTTCACCCTACTAGTTACCTTACCCACTCGACATCTTATGGTGAATTCTACATCTTATGAAGAATTCTCTTATTAGGTGATCACTGACCCCCAGATGGCTACCGATCTGGAGGCCCCCTACCATGTCATCCCCCGTTGCCAATACCAGATCCAGTAAGGGGATCCAGTTTCTGTAGGGACTTGTGCTCCAAACATGAATGGTATGATATAGTCTAGGGACTAATATATGGAAGAAATCTTGCAGTGTTGTCTATATATATTGAGCAGGGATCCGGGTTTTCCGTTTCCCACTGAAAAATGAAGAAAACCATGGATTTCCCAGTTTATTTGGAGAAAATGCAGATTTTCCCTTTTAGCAGGGACACCTGTGGATTTCCCCATTTTGCAAAGAGCTCTGCAGGCTGGCTGAGTTCCAGCCTGCAAGAGCTGTTTGCAAAAGGGGTGGGAAGCCCCAGCCCTGCCTGGATGCGGAGGGAGAGGGTGAAAGAGTGGGACCCAGTGCAGTCACTTACTGGAGGCTGCCTCAGGAGGAGGATCAGTCTTCATTCTTGGAGGTAAGTGAGGCTTGGAGGTTGAGGAGCGCTACCCCTCCCCCTTTTTTCCCCACCCTGTCCTTTCTGTACAATCTATAACCCTCAATATGTACCGCCCAGTCGTGGGATGAATCCCACCAGGTTTCAGTTAGCCCTACTAAGTCATAGGTGTTTTGTGCAAGCAGGAGCGCTAGTTCATCCTGCTTGTTCCCCATGCTCCTAGCATTAGTATATAGGCACTTGAGCCCTGCGACTGGTGCCTTTGCTGCCCCCCCACTCCAAGTCCCAAGGGGCCCCTTATTTCTTACCTTCTCGTTGCTTACCCGTGCTGTAGTGCTGGCCACCCCATTGCTTGCAGGTTCCCAATGTTCTCCTTCTTCAGGCTGAGCTGTCCTTGTGGGTGCCACATGGTTTGGTGGTCCACAGCTTCCCCCGCCCTCATCTTCCCCTCCCCTGACGAGCCTAGTTTAAAGCCCTCTGGAGGAGATCCGCCAACCTAGACGAAAACACACGCTTACCCTTGGGGGACAGGTGAAGCCCATCCCAACTGAGCATGTCCCTCGTC